AATTAGGACATAATCCCAAAAGTTATGTCAAATCATCGAACTTGACATTTGAAAAATTATTTTCACATTTTGACACAATCAAATTTCACAGATGACACAATCTGTTTGACAATTTGAAATTGGCGCGCAGAGCTTGCCGACCAATGGTGCCGTTTATCACCTGTGACGTAGTGACCAACCTGCGCAATATCATACCTTGTATTCTTTGTATCGCATGAGCAATATATATATATATATATTTTTATTAGATTGTATTAAAAAAACCTCTTTTATTTTTTAGATGCTATCGCTTCTTTCATTATAATTTTTGTGTTGTTAAAGTCTACTCTATGCCCTGTGTCCCATGAATGTTGACAAATCTTAGATTTGTGAAAATCGCCCTTTCTGAAATAATCTTTATGTTCTTTAATTCGAACATTTAAGGGTCTAGATGTTTCACCAATATAAAATTTATCACATTCACATGGTTTTTGTATTTTAGATTTTTATTTGTTTTTCAGTGTTTATTGGTTTAGTGTGGGTTAAAATGGATCTAAGTATATTTTGTATTTTGAAGGATGTTCGTATGTTATATTGTTTTCCTATCCTTATTTTTACATACAAACGCCTCGTATGTACGGAATTGTAAGTTCATTGTGTGTATTCTATCTATGATTTGGGGTTTGTATTTCGCTTAATGGTTTGTCAGTAAAAGATGGTGAATAATCGTTTTTTATTAATGTATTTTTTTAATAAAAAACGACTATCCCCATTGCATAACCACAAACCTTTTTTTGGTTAATGTGTAATGATTAATCCTTCATAATTTTAAGACTTATTCATCACTTCCTTAAATCTTTTTTTTTGATAAACTTGATGAAGTCAGTTTTAATATGTTTGTCATTTAATACAATTACTTCACTATGACAGCGTTCATGTTATACGGGGAATTATTTGTCATACTCTAGTAGCATGACCGGAATTCATACTAATTTAAACTATAATAGGACGTTCTCTCAAACGATATCGCTTGGTTTAATATAACATTAATTTTTCTCTTCGAATGCTGTATATTTTTTATTTTAAGATAAGAATTTCATAGAGAAGGTTTATTACATTGTATTGACAAATTGACAAAGTAAACGGTTAAATGGGACAGTGCTTATTTTTTGTGTGCAATACCAAAGGTGCTTTGTTTTAAAACTATACCGAGGTTGTTGTACCTTTATCTTAGCACGTTGTATATGGGTCCATTAGTGGCTCTTGCCCTCTTGCTTTTAGCCGCTTTTAGTGTCCATAACAACCGGTTTTTGATATATGGAATAATATCGATATTTTATAAACTTCTCTCGTCAAAATTATGGCATAATTTTAAGAGCAACGTTTATCTCTGTAGGATGTATAGTATGTTCAATGTTCAACGAGAGGAGACATGACAGTGACAGTTATCATTTTAATTCATTGGTAAATTGTATTTTCCGTCATTTTTTGGATGTTGTCTGTCGAAATTTTCCATGATTGGTTTGACAAACTTGATATATGCTACTATGAAAGTTCGAAATAAGCGAATGTCAATATTCACCTGTCGATGTCAACAAACAATAAACGAATGTTTTGGTTTCAACCTTTTTTTTGTGATTCTTTGATTCTTTAAATACGATTTTGCCTCGACGTAAGAATATACTAGTTTGTTGAAGATATGGCAACACCACTGGCGTAGTTTCATGATCTTTCTACAAACGAGTAAAAAAAAGAAAGAGTATTAAATAATAAGTATCACTATTTATGACCAAAAGCATTATTGGTAATTAGTAACATTAGTAATTACATGAATCGACTGATATCATAACATACAAAATATTCACATAGATACTGCCATTACTCGCTGACGAGTATTTGACAGGCATCAGAAGATTGTTACGCAAGGCATTTTCTTTCATGAGCTTTTCTGTGACTGAAAAGCCCGATACGTGATGTTATCTGTCTACCGCACACATACATTTCCTTTGCTTTGAATTGACCAACTTCGAATTGATGGTTACTGGTTACTGAGTTGATCGCTCTTAAGGCTGCTTGACTACCGGATAAGATGGCTATTTCTTATTTCCGATGGTTAAGGTAAGTTATAGGCATCTTTATACAGGATGTCCCAGAAATAAGTGCAAGTATTTTAAGGGGTGGTAGTATCGTTTTTCAATTAAGTCCAAAATAATAGAGTTATTTTACTTTCAAAATTTCCAAAAAAAAAATCTTAATTTTTTTTCTTTCTTTTAAATTTAATTTAATACCTATGTTGCCATATTATCAAGAAATTCTGTTTTTTAACTAAAAACTAAAACAAAATCCTAAAAATTTTTCAAAAAATTTCGGATTTTCACAATTTTTTTTCGCGAAAAAAACTCATAGGCGTGTTTCTGGGGTAGAACTATACTACCAGTTAAAATACTTGCACTTATTTCTGGGACACCCTGTATAGCGTAGATTTCTGCCTGAATGATGCTGGGGTATAGGTGCCCATTGCATTGGTTCTGAGTATTTAGTTTTCTAACCAAATATATTTATGAATATTTTTGTTAAAGCCGATTTCGACAAAATTAATTAATACCAACTTTATCCTCGTATTACCGTCGGGTCGTAAAATTCTCGCTGAGCCCGGCCCTGACAGCGAGCGGGCGCAAATCTCGCAAAATCCCCCGATAAATCTGGCATTTCACTGACCGCCACGCCATTTTCGCATTTTTTCTGGTCCTTTTCGGTGCGCTGCACCATGTCCCGAACGTTATTCTTTGGGAACGGGCCTCTACTAGGAAACCATAAATTGTAAATCACTTTGCAGCTTCTTCGAGTCTGCGAGCTCCTTAGAAGACTATTTGTCTTTGTTTCTCGCGAAGATAGAGTTAAGAACACAGGAGAACAACTCTTGTTAATGCCATGGTAGATTTATTGATATTATTTAAAAAAAAAATCGTAGACGAATTACTGGTGGTCAGATATCATTTTAATTTTGCAAGTTTGTTTTCTATATTGTTAATTATGATAATAGTCTATAATTTTTTTAATATTAGATATGATATAGAGATGAGCAAAACTGTTATTTCCAAATTACAGGTCTGTTACTGCTATTTAAATATAACAGGTTAAAATAATTAATTTCTGCTATTTTAACGGCTTCATTCAGAACCTCGCAATTCGTGGTTTCAATTATACTTTTTAGTTTACGATCATTCACAATGTTTAGAAACACAATTAAAATTAATAGAATATACTAGCAACAGCTTACGTTAGCCAGTTGTATCCATAGAGAAAGCTTAATATTTAGCTTATAAAACAATATACTTTTGATTTCTAACCACAATTTCTCTTGACGAAAGATGATCATAGGCCAAAATGACATTTCTCGCAAATTTTGGAGTATATAATTAGTGGAAAAGTTAAAAGTTTAATAACTTTTTCGACTAATTGAAAATGTCTACCACTAATTTTGACGTTCTGAATGCTTACATTGAAATTAAAGAAACAAACTTCTACGCTAATTCAAACCACTAATTTATTCCACTAATTGCGAGGTTCTGAATGAAGCTACAGTTAAGAAAATTATAGAAATAACACTTTATTGATATTCTTGTTAAACAGAGAAACAAGAAATCATATCACAGTACAGATGCCTTCACTATCTGCAATTTATTGCTGAACAATCATATGTGATTATTAAATTAAATCTCTATCTGGAAAACTTTAACAATATCAATAAACTGCTAAAAGAAGTATAAAAAATCAGTATATCCTCAACTCACAACTCCACACCGTTTATTATCGATGTCAGCATACTGTTATTTTCATAACTGATATTTTTTAACACAACAACGATTGAAAACCTTGTAAAAAATCGTGGCGCAGCGTTTCAGACTTAACATCGTAAGCCATCGCTGTCACTGCACTGACATTTTCACAACTGTTATTTTTTGGAAGTAACTGTTTTTATGAGTAAGCTCGCTCGTAAAATTTCTTTCCACGGCGATCCCAAATTCATGACCTGTCGCGTACCTGTTATTTTTTCACCATAACAACTGTTATTTTTGCTCGTAAGTAACTGCTGTTATGACAAGCTCGGTAATAATTTCTTTTGCCCAGCGATCGCGACTATACATCATGAGCTATCGCTGTATCGTAGTACTGTTATTTGGTTACCTGTTATTTTTTCTCGAAAGTAAATGCTGTTGCGAGCAGCTCGATAGTAAAATTTCGCACCGCAACGATCCCAACTTTACGTCATAAGCTATCGTATGGTACTGTTATTTGGTTACCTGTTATTTTTTCAACGTAACAACTGTTATTTTTGGCAATAACTGATATTGCGATAATTTTACTCATAAAATTTTGTGCTCAGCGATCCCGACTTTACATCATTGCTGTATCGTACTGTTATTTGCGTACCTATATGATATATTGAACGTCACAAATGTTACAAACTGTATTTTTTAAACATTAGTGTAAAAGTGTTTTGATATATTGCAATAGAATTAATGTACTGATATAAAACTCCTAAATTCTAATTTTATGAATAGTTAGTAAAAACATTAATTTGACAAGGGTGTCCCAGAAATAAATGCAAGTATTTTAACTGGTAGTATATTTCATCACAACCCCAGAAACACGCCTATGAGGTTTTTTCGCGAAAAAAAAAATTTTGATAATTCGAAATTTTTGAAAAAATTTTGGAATTTTTTTTAGTTATAAGTTAAAAAACATAATTTCTTGATAATATGGCAACATAGGTATTAGATTAAATTTACAAGAAAGAAAATCCAGAAAAGATCCAGTGGTTCTCAAAATTTTAGCAAAAAATCATTTTTTTTGGAAATTTTCAAAGTAAAATAACTCCGTTATTTTGGACTTATTTGAAAAACGATAAAGAGAAAATACGTTTCTTTTATCTAGATCTACCACCCCTTAAAATACTTGCACTTATTTCTGGGACACTCTGTATAATAATTTTTTAAATTATATTTTTTATATTTCAGATCAAATCAGCATGGACACTGGATTTTCCTATGACAATTTTGAAAAGTGTATAACAGAAATTGTCAACGTTTCCAACAAACTTTTAGATGGTTGGAAAATCGAATCTAAACAAGTATGTACATTTTTTTATATATTATATTTATATTTGAAACAAAAATCTAAAAATAACATAATTATCACACAAGTATCCAGAAAAATCTGGCTTCTAGGTGATTCGATCTTGCCAGGTCATGAAAAAAGTGCTATTTATTTTTCTATTTTTTCGTTTTTTTAGAGATTAGTTCGTTATATTTAGAAATTACTTTCGAATTTTTTCGTAAAAACACCAAGGTCTACATTCTTGGCCGTGGGCCATCGAATTACATTTTTAATGTTTTGGAAATGGCTGTAAATAATAAATAAAAACGTTAGATAGACAGGCTACATGCCGAATATTTTTAGAGTAATTTAACGATCGACAATTATCCTTTTTTTATCTTACAAGTATTTATACGGGGTGTTAAATAAGTGCAAATATTTTTAGGGGTAGTATATTTCGACCCCAGAAACAGGATTATAAGGTTTTTTGCGAAAAAAAAATTGCAAATTTGGAATTTTTTGACAATAGTTTTTAGTTAAAAAACATAATTTCTTGATAATATGGCAACATATAGATAGTAGATTAAACTTACAAGAAAGAAAACCCAGAAAAGATCCAGTGGTCCTCAAAATTTAAGCAAAAACATTTTTTTTTTATTTTCAAAGTAAAATAACTCGGTTATTTTGGATTTATTTGAAGAGAAAAATATGTTTCTTTTATCGAGATCTACCAGCCTTCAAAATATTTCCACTTATTTAAGACTCAAGTTGTATTTTTCGATTTTGTTGGGCTTATTTTAGTTTTTAGTTAAAAAACATAATACATATCTTGATAACATGGCAACATAGGTAGTAGATAAAATTTAGAAGAACGAAAACCCTGGAAAAATCCAGTGGTTCTCAAAATTTAAGCAAAAAATAACTTTTTCTCATTTTCAAAGTAAAAACTGTTATTTTGGACTTATTTGAAAAACGGTAAAATAATATATATTTCTTTTATCGAGATCTACCAGCCCTGAAAATATTTTCACTTATTTAAGACTCACCCTGTATATTTAAAATTGAAAAAATGAATAGCCATATTAAAATATTAAAGGCCGTTATCATGTGTCAGTCACACTGAAACAGTTTGACTGATTCAGTACCTGAAAAATCGGAAAATGGGGCTTGTCTTCACACGTTTCATTTTGCTAGCAGTGGCGGATCTAGGGTAAAATACGTCGTGGGTAAAGACAAAATTTTGCGCCCCCACAAAAAATGTGTAGACACCCCCCCCCACCTCCCCCCAACCAAAAAAAAATATGAAAAAATATTTCAAACGTTATATTATATTACTTAAAACATTAAAACATAAATAAAAACAAAACAGAAACAAAAGAACATATTTAGTACTTATGCAGTCTTAAAAACCCTGCGAAGATCACGAAAATACCTGCTTACTACAAAATATTGCACGAAATTGCGCTTAAAATTTGACTTTTCTAGCCTTTACAGAAGCCATTTCATCTATCATTTTATTAAAGTTAATTTTTTCGGCTATTTCATACTCTATACTTAATATTCCCCAGTCAGTCAGTCTATCCTGTGTCATAGTTGAACGCCTAAAATCTTAAATTAATTTAAGTTTACTAAAGCTTGTCGCCCACTTGGCCGTCACGTCCCGTCCCGTTCCGGCCCGTCAAAATACGGATAGGATTAAAACCATGCAAGTGAATAGACTATCGCATATTAGCCCGTCACGGCACGGAACGGCGAGTCCGTCGACGGAACAGATTCCAGCTCTCCGACTATCCCCGTCAAACGACGGTCCGTGCAGGGACGGGCTGGTCAAGTGTGCGCGGAGTCGGTCGGCGCTGGCCTGCATTAACTCGTGGTAGCCTGTTGATCGCATATTTGTTTTGCAGTTATTTCGGCAGTTGTTGAGTCCGAGAAAGCAGTCCTACGACAAGCCTTTCTTCTTTCGATATTGCTCTTCGAAATGAGGAATTTTGAAATGATAAATTAGGCTCTAAAATATCAAGCAGTTCTAGGCATTTATTGGGCAACAGTCTAAAATATTGAAACCATTTCTTTTCGTCTTCTTTTAAATGGTTAAATAATTGATGGAACTCTCCGAGTTCAGCCCTCTTTTGATTAATGGGATGGACCCACGTGTTTCTCTCTTTTTCTTTTCTTCTTCTTCTGCCAAAAATGTCGGCCGCTACATTTCTTCATCAGAACTGCTGCTTTCACACATAGTGACTCTGTCACTGCTATATGTAAACTAAAATAAAAAGATCTTCGCAGCACACGACCACGACGTGACGGTTTGCCGGTTTCCACCGGAAAAGTGGGCGACCAAGCTCTCTGTCGCCTGCAAGCGACGGGCAGCTACGGTCCGTGCTGTGCCGGACAAGTGGGCGACAAGCTTAAACGACCTAGCCGGAGAGCTGGCGACATATTTAGAGAACATATTTTAGGCAAGTTAAAATAACAAAAAAAATACAGTTTAATAACTTGTGAACCCAGAATCCTAAGTCTGGCTGGGGGGTTAGGGGTATTTCGCTACTGCGCAACCCATAACATTTGCAAAAAAATAAATCCAAAAAACATTCTTTAGGCAACTTGAAATTTGATTATTCTTAAATTTTAGCATCTATCTAGAAATAAGTGTGCCAGACTTTTTTTTCGGGTTTAAAGTGTAACCAGACCATTCCAAATATGTTTAATTATTATACCTGGAAAACATACTTTAGGCATTCAAAAATTTTTACAGCGTGTTTAGTAGATGATATTAAAAAATATATGTTAATTGCCAGACGAATTCAATGGGATTTAATACTTGCCAGACGCGAATAAAGATTTTAAATGAGCGCGACAAAAAAGTCTTATGAGTATCTATAAGCGCGAGAAAGATAGTTTATTTAGACTCGTCGGCAGCCGATGCGGCTGACGTAACAGTATTTTGGAGTACTTCAAATTTTCATAAAAACAATTTTTTTTCGGTTTCATTTCAATTATTTGCAGGCTTTTAATTTAGAGATTATTTTGTTGGAATTAAGTTACCATGTACAAATATGTATTTATAAATTAAATATTGACGTGCACAGTGTAAATAGTTTAGAATAATTACTGCAAATAAACATTTTAGTACTAATTTCGCTACTAACTACTAAATCACAATGGATAAAAAACATTTAAGTTGTGTAGTTTGTAAAAAAGTTACTAGTGACAAAGTTATTGTTTTTGATGAAGGCAGACTACAAAAATGCAAAGAATTTTTAAAAGTGCGCCAACAACATGGTTTAAAATGGTTTTAAAGAAGTGGTTTTACCAGAAAACGTAGTCCCGACAAAAGGGTTGTGATAATAATATAATATGTCACAAAAGTATAACAATAATTATACTTTTGTGACGTTTGAAAAAATATATTTTATATTATGCTAATTTTTAAAAATTATTCGTCTTTTTATTCAAAATACTTAAATTAAAAAGTCTTCTTATTGAAAGGATTTCAATCATTCATTTTTATCAAAAAATGTTTCTTTTTATTTATAAGTTTTAGTACTCCAAAATGCTGTTACGTCAGCCGCATCGGCTGCCGACCGGGTCTCAGTAAACTATCTTTCTCGCGCTTATAGATACTCATAAGACTTTCTTATCACGCTCATTTAAAATCTTTATTTGCGTCTGGCAAGTATTAAATCTCATTGAATTCGTCTGGCAATTAACACATATTTTTTAATATCATCTAATAAACACGCTGTAAAAATTTTAGAATGCCCAAAGTATGTTTTCCAGGTATAATAATTAAACATATTTGGAATGGTCGGGTTACACTTTAAACCCGAAAAAAAAGTCTGGCATACTTATTTCTAGGTTAAATAGATGCTAAAATTTAAGATTAAACAAATTTCAAATTGCCTAAAGAATGTTTTTGGATTTATTTTTTTGCAAATGTTATGGGTTGCGCAGTAGCGAAATACCCCCAACCCCCCAGCCAGACTTAGGATTCTGGGTTCACCAGTTAATAAACTATACATTTTTAGTTATTCTAGCTTGCCTAAAATTTGTTCTCTAAATATGTCGTCAGCTCTTAGGCTAATCGCTCACATGACACAGACACAACACAGAAGTGACTGACATGATCAGAAATATTCGCAGCGCGGTCTGCAAGTCCGGATAATTCGGAATTAAGCAATATTTTTCTAGCATATTAAGAATATCTATATACAGGGTGGTCCGAATTGTATTCGGGAAACTTCGGCAGCATATTCTGCAGATTAAATTAAGTAAAAAAGTTCGTATAAATGTATGTCCTAAAATGCTTAATTTCGGAGGTACAGGGTGTAGAAATTTCATTTTTATTCTGATTTTTTCTAAATAATTTAAGAAGTAACGTCAATATTGGGGATGAGTTTTTGGACATGAGAAATTTGATTTTCATGTCAATATGACTCCTAATTGTAGAGGGCGCCACCTACATATGCTTTAACTGGTTTGAAGAGTAATAACTTTTCATCCATACCTGTATAAAACTACTGAGTAAAAAAATATACATTTAAAACTTTTTTTACATAAAATAGGTCTCTTGGTAAAAATCGCTACGAGTAATGGTTCCCGAGATATTTGAAATTGAAATTATCAATACCTGTCATCATTGACAAATTAAACATGTTGACCAACTAGTTTTTAGACTGAAATGTTAAATTTGAAATCTTTTTGTGCCAAAAGTTCAACAGAAACTGTTTAATTATCATTTTTTCGCAGAAAAAATTATGATTAATTTAAAAAAATAAAAATTTATTATTTCAGTCAAATAACTTTTTTTTTGTCAATAATGACGTGCATTGACAATTTCCATTTTAAATATCTTGAGAACGGTTGCTCGTAGCTATTTTTACCAAGAGACAGTAGTTTTATACAGGTACCGTCGAAAAGTTATTACTCTTCAAAACAGTCAAAACGCATGTAGGTGGCGCCCCCTACAAATAAGAGTCATTTTGACATCAAAATCAAATTTCTCGTATCACAAAACTCCCAGATACCAATTTTCATCCAGATATTGACGTTATTTCAGAAATTACTTAGAAAAAATCGAAATAAAAATGAAACTTCTACACCCTGTATCTCCGAAACTAAGCATTTTAGGACATACATTTATATGAACTATTTTACTTATTTTTATCTGCAGAACATGCTGCCGAAGTTTCCGGAATACACTTCGGACCACCCTGTATAATATCTAAATATTAGCAGGTTTGGTTTGGTTATTCGTGAAATTTTCCAGTTCAAGATATAGCTCTGTTGCATCCAAGTCGTTAGCATATTTAATTGCTAAATCGGCAGCATGTTTTTTTATTTCTTCTAGTGGTAAGTGGTAATGATGCCAGTGACTTTCCAGAAATTCCGGACATACTACCGAAATTTTACTTGTAGGTATGATGTTTGCAGAAACTACTAACATACCTTACAGTTGCATGCGGTGCGTGATTAGAGTTTTTACCTATCGATTTCGGACACATTTTGGCGCCTCTGCGGCACCCCTGGCGCCTGGCGTCGTGGGCAGGTGCCCACCTTGCCCACGCCTAGATCCGCCACTGTTGCTAGTTGAATACATTCACATCTGTCGTTGATCTCATAAATATAAAATATCTACAAAATTGCAACCAGTTGTTCGAGAGGTATGTTTATACAAGGTGAGTCTTAATAAGTCCAAATATTTTAGGGGTAGTAGATTTCGACCCCAGAAACACGTCTATTAGGTTTTTTTCGCCAAAAAATTGAAAATTACGAATTATTTTTAATATTTAGTTAAAAAACTAAATCTTCATAATATGGCAATATACGTACAGGGTGGCCCATCGAAAATGTTCCGCAAGGCATAACGGCCAGGGTATTTATTTTTTCAAAAAATCCAAAAACACGTCAATTTTGTTTGTGAGGGGGACAACTTTTGCCCCAAAAATGATTGCAAAATATTCAACCCTCTAAGCGGGGGTGTCATCCCCCAACTTTTTTCAAATGGAAAGGGGGGTCAAGTGGCACCGCAATGAAAAGAGCTTTCTATTCTCTATATTTCCCCGCTTCGTTTTTGAAAATCGGTCGAGTCATTGAGAAAATATGAAGGATTGAAATTTGAAAATTTTAGTTAAGCATTTATCAGAGTAAATGATAATTAAGGATAAATTCGACCAATTTGCTGTTTTTTCTTATTATTTCTAGATGTTTACGCATTCTTTCACTTGCCACAACGTTGAACGACCAGGTGCGGTAGTTGCTAGATAGCTGTTCTGTGACTTGTACGTTGAAGTTCTTCTCAATATCGTTAAACTGACCCACAATAGAATTTCCAAAAATACCAGCCCACACGTTCAATTTCTGAGGGTTTTGTGTGTACACCTCGTGAAAAACCCTGGGGTTGTCCAGCCCAGTACCGACAGTTGTGCCGATTAACTACACCGTTCAAAAAAAAAGTACACTCATCCGAAAAACACACATTAAATAGGAAATTATTATCATTTGCCACTCGTTCACTCATAGTTTCACAAAATTGCATGCCACGATCAAAATCGTCTTCGTTGAGTTCTTGTACCGACTGAATTTTGTACGGGTGGAACTTGTGTTTTTTTTAATATCCTTTGGAAACTTGTACGATTCCCGCCGGTCTCATTGGCTAATTTTCTTGTACTCAGAATACTGTCCATGGCAACTTGGTCCAATACCAATACCTCGATAGCTTCATTTACTACAGGATTTTCCCTCTGCCTCTTTTTATTCATAACGGAACCAGGGGTGCAACTTTGTTCAAGTTAGCAACCGATCGTTTAGAAGCGATGTCGAAACCAGATCGGTACTATGTTCATTGCAAAACTATTGTCGCTCAAATGCTGCGAAATATGATATCACTATCATACTCTTGCACACGTGTGCGACACGGTCTAGGCTATGTCTAGGCAGTCGCCTCGCCACAAAGCGAGAAATCAGAATATCGCTACGAATCGATGTTGCTACTGAACATAGTGCCTCAAGCTACAAATTACTTTACTATCGCTTTGAAACATGAACAAAGTTGCACCCCAGTTTCGCGAAATTTTGCTACTATCTGGCGAACAATTTTGCCATAAAGGTGTTTGTCAGGATTGCGTTCATTGAATATCTGCGCAACCCGATTGCAAACATCTAGAAATAATAAGAAAAAACAGCAAATTGGTCGAAGGAATTTATCCTTATCATTTACTCTGATAAATGTTTAAATAAATTCTTTTCAAATTTCAATCCTTCATATTTTCCCAACGACTCGACTGATCTTCAAAAACGAAGCAGGACAGTATAGAGAATAGAAAGCACTTTTCGTTGCGATTTTTATTGCGATTTTGCAATAATTTTTGGGGCAAAAGTTGTCCCCCTCACAAACAAAATTGACGTGTTTTTGAATTTTGTGAAAAAAAAATTACCCTGGCCGTTGTGCCTTGCCGAACGTTTTCGATGGGCCACCCTGTATATTAATAATGTATATAAAAAACAACGAAAATGATATAGATAATACACCACTTTAAAATTTTTAAAAATGAGTAATGTGAACATTAAATATATGTGGTTGTAGATATATTATTTAACACTACCCACTTCTTGGTACAGAAATATATTCACAAATTTCGACAAAGACATTTCATTAATTTTTTAACCGTAACCGTAATCATGATTTCACCATTGTGACGTAAATAGATTTCCCATTAAATAGATTTGATTCAAAATAGGTCATAAATTACGTCAAACGGTTTGGTTTGAACGTGGGCTAATAAATATATATCTTCTATTTTATCATTGTGGTTTATTTCCATAGTTGTTGATGTAATTATCTTTTTTGTGTGTCGATTTCAGGACTGTGACGCGAAATTTATGACGAAGAAACATTCCACCTATTTAGACGGACTTGACGGCTCCAAAACATTGGTTACATTCGAGTATCATGTAGCTTATAGTCTTAGTTATGGAGTTCCAGTGTTGTGCTTCAATATTTGGAGACAAGGTATATAGTAGGGGAGCTAAAGATGCTAAATGGGGATTTACTTGAGAAAAAAAATACTTCAGAATCAGCGGCGAGCGGTGACAATTATAGGCGGGGAAGCGAATCGATAAAAAACGCTATTTCGAGACATTACTTTTACATTTTCTTAAAAAACTTACCTTTGAAAATTCCGAGGCCAATTCCATTATTCGATTAAAATTCTATCGAAAATTGTTAAACAAACAAAAACACATAAAGTTATAAGAGTTAAAATACAATATTTTAAATTAATTTTCCGAAGCACTTGACTTTTTTTGACCCGTTCATTATGCAGTTTGCTACTAATTTTTAATTGATTATCCAAACTATGTTCAATTCGAATTGTTCCAAAAGTTTTTTCTTTTATAGTAGCAGTTAAATGTCCTTTACTATTGACATGCCTTTTTACATTTTTGTGAAAATGATTTAAATCTGTAGTCCCGGCTACGTTCCAGTTAGTCTTCTCACTTATATTAAAAAGTAAACAGGACAAAATAATTTGGATAATTTATTGCAACCGGTTAACCACTCATATTTGTCGTAAAACCCAACATGAAAATGTCTAGTGAATTTTTTTTACCGACTTCTCCACTCTGGTCTCCAAATTGACAGGAACCGTTGGCCTACCAGACTTAATAATGTCACTTTTTTCTTGGAAGTTCCGACTAGAAAATCCCTTTTTTAATAACATACATACAACACAAACACAGTCTAATTTTTGTCCACACCAGCAGAAGCAGAAGATTGTCCTTCTTGACCCTCCATTACAAACGAAACAGTAAACACTGAGTTAAATCCGAAAAAAATACAATATTACCTATAAAATCGCAAGCGAACCCGTCCCAATAAATTAAAAGTCGAGGAAGGCGGCCGAAAGATCGCTGCCGTGGCTAGCAACTGTGCGCGATTTTCCGGCTTAAATTTGTCGTTTGCGTTCGAGGTCAATAACACCTACATGAAGGAGGGATAGGTGACCGGCGGCGATTTCCAGACGCGCATCCATGCAGTAAAAGACTAATTAAATTTACTACGTTTATGTAAAGTTTCAATTAAATAATTTTAACGAATTAAATTAATCTTTAGTTATAAAAGAACAGTATTATTAACGTTTAACTATTTATTTTTTTTTTATCTTTAAAAAGTTTAGGGAAGCGGTGCTTCCCCCGCTTCCATGGACCGCACGCCGCTGTTAAGAATCTATAACGCTGTATTTTCCGGGTCGCTCTCAGGGGTCGAAGGAAATATTCAGGGTGGTCCGAATTCTATTCCGGAAACTTCGGTAGCATATTCTGCAGATAAAAATAAGTAAAAAAGTTCGTATAAACGTATGTCCTAAAATGCTTAGTTTCGGAGATACAGGGTGTACAAGTTTCATTTTTATTTCGATTTTGTCCAAATAATTTCTGAAATAACGTCAATATTTAAATGAAAATCAGTATCTACTTGAAGGGGGCGCCACCTACATGTGTTTTAACTGTTTTGAAGAGTAATAACTTTTTGTCCGTACCTGCATAAAACTACTGTGTAAAAGAATATACATTTAAATGATTTTTTACGTAAAAAATATCTCTTGGTAAAAATCGCTACGAGCTACCGTTCTCCAGATATTTTGAATGGGAATAGTCAATACATGTCATTATTGACAAAAAATAAACATGTTGAGTAGATAGTTATTTGACTGAAATGATAAATTTGGGAATTTGGAATTTTTTCTTCGAAAAAATGATAATAAAACAGTTTCTGTTGAACTTTTGGCACAAAAACATTTCAAATTTATGATTCCAGTCTAAAAACTATATTGTCAACATGTTTAATTTATGTCAATAACGACAGGTTTCATAATTTCGATTTTCCAAATATCTCAAGAACCATTACTCGTAACGATTTTTACCAAGAGACCTTTTTTACGTAAAAAATGTCGTAAGTGTCTGCTGTTTTACTCAGTAGTTTTATACAGGAACGGACGAAAAGTTATTACTCTTCGAACCTTTGAATAAGAAGACTAAGGAAGGAGCATAATGCTATCCATGTATTCATGCATGGTGGGCGGAAAAGCCACCATAAAAGCTCTCTAGGGTGGGGATCCTTGACAGTTCTGTTTGACGATTCATTTGACACATTTGAATTTGATTTGAAATTTTGTGGATTTGTCAGTCTTTACGGAGCTTATTTTATGTTATTTATTATTTATTCTACTACTGATAGTTGTATAAAGGTAGTAAATCTAGATGGAAATTGTGGCAGAACTTAAATTAACAGTGACACTATCGCGATTTATGAAAAAGACTCTAAAATAGTTGGTTGTGTAGCGTGCGGTAAAATCTCGGCAAAAACTGAGTGAAATAATGGAACAACTTTTCGCTAGTAAGTGACTATATAATATACTTACGTGTAGTAAACCGATCATTTATGAAATTCACTTAAATTAACTAAATTATATATTTTTCTTGCATTTTAGCTTTTATTTATTACTGTCAAAGATTAGATGTCAAAGAATTTAGATACGCTAATTTGACTTACCTGCTTCAGTAGCGTATCGGATGTTTGTGTTAATAAATACTTATTATAACTTATCTATTTTTATTAGAATTATATATTTTTATAACCATTTTAATAACTACCAACATTTATTCACAACGTAAAATAAAACAACAAATTATTGAGTCTACCCCACGTCTACCCTACATCATAGTTTTACATTTTTTAAATAAAATTAGAACGACACTGATAAACCGGAATTTAAGTCGGCCATATTTGAGGCCCATCGCGGTGTACCTAAGATTTTTGATATGCTCCTTCCTTAGTCTTCTTATTCAAAGCTTCGAACCAGTTAAAAATATGTATGTGACGCCCTCTGCAAATAGGAGTCATTTTGACATCAAAATCAAATTTATCATGTCAAAGAACAGTCTACTGGTCGCAACGCCCAACGGACGGCCAGGACGTTAGTGTGCACGGTATCATTTGATTTAATGGTTTTAGAGGTAGCAGCGGCCTGGCCGGTGCGACCTGGTCGTCAGTGTGTTCGAGCCCTTAGAGTGTGTACACTGAGATCAGTTCATATTGTTTGTAACAAGGTGCAAGTGTAAATCCCAAAATCCCCGCTTGGGCTCCTCTACTAAGAGTAAAAAAACGTTGTTATACAGGATGAGTCTTAAATAAGTGCAAATAAATTTAGGGGTAGTATATTTCAACCCTAGAAACACTATTATGAGGTTTATTTCGTGGAAATTTTGAAAATTTGGAATTTTATTTAGTTTTTAGTCAAAAACGTAATTTGTTGATAATGTGGCAACATAGGTGGTAGATTAAATTTGCAAGAAAGAAAATCTAGAAAAGATCCAGTGATTCTCAAAATTTTAGCAAAAAATAAATTTTTGGGAAATTTTTAATGTAAAGTAACTTTACCAACACAGAAAATATTTATACTTATTTAAGACTAACCCTGTATAGAAACTTGTAATGTTCAAATTGAAACTATTCCTACAATTTCACATTGTCATTGAATTTCTCAAAAAAAAATTTTTTTCTCGAAACAACAATCCACTAAAAAACACATTTTAAAATTAAAAAAAAAATATCAAGATTAGTCAGTTGTAAAACCTTTTTGGAAATTGAAAGTTGAAAATTCTTTTATTTAGGTAAAATTCATAAATTCATATAATATAGAAAATATATAATTTTTAGATGGAACGATGTTAACAATAGAAGAATATTGGTCACTGAACCAAAGCTTGAAGGACTCTAACATGCACGATACTCTGACACAGATGGTAAGACTTCTTTTTTAAAGAAGGGAGCATTAAAATTCAATTTTCATTTTGCTGTTGTCATTTAGGACCACCCGGTTTTGTGCAGGCCATTTTTGACCCTCCACCCTTGCAAAACTTCCGAATTCTTCCAACCCTTTTTAGAAAACAGGTAGGTCCTTATATAATTTTATTACAAGCTTAAAATTAATTGTTACTTATTAGTTTTGTTGATATGCTTTTTTTTTTAGTATTTTTATTCCAATAATAAGAAACAATTATTCTTTTTTTTCTATTATTAGGAAGTAGTTTCTATACTATTAAAAAAGTAATCTAATTTTTGTATCTGACCTTTAAGAGTATATTTAAAAAGGTTTTAATTTTTTTTTTGTTTCAGCAAAAATCCAGTGGTGTCGTGGCTGAGCGTCGTGGGTAGTTTCGTGCATTTACAACTTTTAGAAGACTATATAAAGTGTTGTTGATTTAGGGTTTGAGAAAGATAAGGCCCAACAAAAGCATTTCCTCTTTATATTTATTTAGGGTGCTCCCTAACAACAGGTTTCATTTAAAAGGCTGCGTATTTATAGATTTCTAAGGATAAATATGTAAACTTTCCACTTATAAACATAAATTATTTGTTTCTGCTTCATTTAGACCCTCGAAATTAGTAGTTTCAATTATATATCTTTATACTTATGAGTTTACGATCATTCACAATGTTTAAAAAATACAATTAAGTTTAATAAATCCTAGCAACAGCTGGCTGTAGTCAGTGGCATCCATAGAAAAAGCTTAATAATTAGCTACAAAACAATAAACTTTTGATTTCTAACGATAATTTCTTTTTACGGATGGTAATCAAAAGTATTCAAAAGCTAAAATGACATTACTCGGAAATTTTGAAGCAAAATTAGTGGATAAATTAAAAAGTTTGATAACGGCATTCACAGGCAAGAGTTTTCTACCAGCGGCTCTTTCTCAATAGAAATAATGTATAAGCTTAGCGAGTTCTTGTTCAAAGGCTAAAATGACATTACTCGGAAATTTTGAAGCAAAATTAGTGGATAAAGTTAAAAGTTTATTAACGGCATTCACAGGCAAGAGTTTTCTACCAGCGGCTCTTTCTCAATAGAAATAATGTATAAGCTTAGCGAGTTCTTGTTCAAAGGCTAAAATGACATTACTCGGAAATTTTGAAGCAAAATTAGTGGATAAAGTTAAAAGTTTGTTAACGGCATTCACAGGCAAGAGTTTTCTACCAGCGGCTCTTTCTCAATAGAAATAATGTATAGGCTTAGCGAGTTCTTGTTCAAAGGCTAAAATGACATTACTCGGAAATTTTGAAGCAAAATTAGTGGATAAATTAAAAAGTTTGATAACGGCATTCACAGGCAAGAGTTTTCTACCAGCGGCTCTTTCTCAATAGAAATAATCTATAAGCTTAGCGAGTTCTTGTTCAAAGGCTAAAATGACATTACTCGGAAATTTTTTGAAGCAAAATTAGTGGATAAAGTTAAAAGTTTGTTAACGGCATTCACAGGCAAGAGTTTTCTACCAGCGGCTCTTTCTCAATAGAAATAATGTATAAGCTTAGCGAGTTCTTGTTCAAAGGCTAAAATGACATTACTGGGAAATTTTGAAGCAAAATTAGTGGATAAAGTTAAAATTTTGTTAACGGCATTCACAGGCAAGAGTTTCCTACCAGCGGCTCTTTCTCAATAGGAATAATGTATAAGCTTAGCGAGTTCTTGTTCAAAGGCTAAAATGACACTACTCGGAAATTTTGAAGCAAAATTAGTGGATAAGGTTAAAAGTTTGTTAACTTTTTCTACTAGTTGAAAATTACTACCACTAACTTTGGCGTTCAGAATGCTTACATTGAAATTAAAGGAACAAGCTTCTACGTTAATTGAACCCAAAAAAATTATTCTACTAATTTCGAGGTTCCAAATGAACCTTAAAGATTCATTCAGAACCTCGCAATTAGTGGAATAAATTAGTGGTTTCAATTGCACTTTCTAGTTTTTATTTTACGATCATTCGTAATATTTAAAAAACAATTAAAATTAATAGAATATCCTAGCAACAGCTTGCGTTAGTCAGTTGTATCCATAGAGAAAGCCTAATATTTAGCTTATAAAACAGTCAACTTTTGATTTCTAACCACAATTTCTATTGACGGAAGATAATCAAAGACTAAAATGACATTTCTCGCGAATTTTGAAGTATAATTTGTGGAAAAGTTAAAAGTTTGATATCTTTTTCTACTAATTGAAAATGCTTACCACTAATTTTGGCGTTCTGAATGCTTACATTGAAATTAAAGGAACACTCTTACGCTAATTGAAACCACTAATTGCGAGGTTCTGAATGACGTTTAACTTTTAAATTTGAAATGTCTGTTATAATGTTGTATTATTTTTTGTGAATAATTGTTGAATCAACATTTTTTTAGAAGCCTATTTAAAAAATGAAAGTTTGATAATAGTTTCAACTTCTTTGAGAATGCGTTTATAGATTTTGTCTGTCAAAACAAGCTCTTTAAAAAATAAAAACAAAAACCGGAAATTTCAGTTTTTCCGCTGTATTTCTTGGCAAAGATCAATTACTAAACGGATTATCATCGATAAGCAACTTCGCCCCAATTTAAGCCATCCGCTCTATGTATAAAACTAAATTATAATATGAAATATTATAATTATATAATTTATTAAAAATATAATTATGGAAAACATCCGTAGCAATACAAATTGAGGCGGAAAAACCAGTTAAAAATGAACGCGTTGTTTGGTTTGATTGACATTCAAAAAAAAAATGGACAAGTTGAGGCTAATGATATCGCTTATTATGAGGATTATTTGCGGTATTCTTGTCTTGGACGGAATGCAAAACAACTAGGTTTTTCTTACAACCAAACTATCTAATCGGTTTCCTGTTGATATTTAAACCGCTTTTTTTCGAATGCATGGTAAAATTCCGTTTTGAATAGTTTCGTACTTAATAGTAGAAGACCAAATTTTGTTTAATTATTATTACTTCTTCATTTTTTTAATTAATAGATATACAGTGCGAGTCTTAAATAAGTGCAACTATTTTTAGGAGTGGTACTTATATTTTGACCCCGGAAACACGGCTACGACTTTTTTTCGCAAAAATATATTTTTTTTAATTTTGTATTTTTTGATTTTTTTGGATTTATTTTAGTTTTTAGTTAAAAAAACATAATATCTTGATAATATGGCAATTATAGGTAATTAAAATTTAGATGAACGAAAACTCCAGTGGTTAAAATTTAAGCAAAAAATAACTTTTTTTTTTCATTTTCAAAGTAAAAACTGGGTTATTTTGGACTTATTTGAAAAAAGGTAAAGGAAGAACAAGCTCTACCAGCCCTGAAAATATTTGCGCTTATTTAAGACTTACCCTGTATAATTTCATTCTAACAATTTTTAAAAAAAATTCTTTCATCAAATAAGTTGACTTTAAACTTACAGATTGAATGGCACTATTATGAGTGCCACAATTCATATTAAATTTAGCTATACAGGGTGAGCCTTAAATAAGTCCAAATATTCTTAGGGGTATTATATTTTGACCCCAGAAACACGATTATGAGGCTATTTTCGCCTCAGAGAAGCGTTAGAGAGCATCAAGTTTTAAAGCAATAAACAAATTTTTAAGATATTTTAAGGATAGATTTTCAGATTTCAAAGAGATTTTGATGTCTATGTTTTTTAGCAGAAATCTTTTACAGTTTCAACAACGACTGTTTTTTTATATTTATAAAATATACAGGGTGGTCCGAACTGTATTCCTGAAACTTCAGCAGCATATTCTGCAATTAAAAATAAGTATAAAAGATCGTATAAATGTATGTCCTAAGATGCTTAGTTTCGGAGATACAGGGTGTAGAAGTTTCATTTTTATTTCCATTTTTTATAAATAATTTCTGAAATAACGTCAATATTTGGATGAAAATTGGGGTCTGGGAGTTTTTTGACATGAGAAATTTGATTTTGATGTCAATATGACTCCTACTAGTAGAGGGCGCCACCTACATGTGTTTTAACTGTTTTGAAGAATAATAACTTTTTGTCCGTACCTGTATAAAACTACCGAGCAAAAGAATATACATCTCTGTAACTTTTTACGTAAAAAATATCTCTTTGTAAAAATCGCTACGAGTAACCGTTCTTAAGATATTTAGAATGGAAATAGTCAATACATGTCATTATTGACGAAAAATAAATACGTTGAATAATAGTTATTTAACTGAAATCATAAATTTGGGAAATTTTTACTTTTTTAAATTAATCATAAATTTTTCTGCAAAAAATTATGGTAAAACAGTTTCTGTTGAAGTTTTGGCACAAAAACATTTCAAATTTATGATTTCAGTCTAATAACTATTTAGTCAGCATGTTTATTTTATGTCAATGATGACAGGTATTGATAATTTCGATTCCAAATATCTCGAAAACCATTACTCGTAGCGATTTTTACCTAGAGACCTTTTTCACGTAAAAAACGTGAATTTATATTTTTTTATTCAGTAGTTTTATACAGGTACGGACGAAAAGTTATTACTCTTCAAACCAGCTAAAATGTATGTAGGTGGCGCCCTCTATTAATAGGAGTCATATTGACATCAAAATCAAATTTCTCATGTCAAAAAACTCCCAAACACCAATTTTCATCCAAATATTGACGTTACTTCAGAAATTATTTGGAAAAAATCGAAACTTCTACACTCTGTATCTCCGAAATTAAGCATTTTAGGACATACATTTATACGAACTTTTTTACTTATTTTTATCTGCAGGATATGCTGCCGAAGTTTCCGGAATACAGTTCGGACCACCCTGTATATTCATCAAATAAATTCACTCAAAATTCAAATAAGTGAAGAAATTTTAGCAACAAAAACAGAACGATGTTTATGTCATGTGATATTGAATTTTATAACTTCCTATCTTCATTTTTGTCCTGGATTTAAGTGTAACGTTTTATCTTATCGTGGGTGTTGATATAGCTCTTAAGGTAGGTGTCCACAATGAAGTTAAAATGTCATGAAATTTTTATTTCATGAAACATTTGTTTCGTGGTGTGTTTTCACATGGAGGTAAAAATTTCATCACTCGCGATTGTTTGAAATTTTTGGTTCATGAGACACGACGTAAAGTGAAACTGCTATTTCCACAGTGATTTAGTTTTTGTGCATGATACAGTTTATAATAATAGAAGTGATGGCCACAAGTTGGAGAAGACGAAAATTTATGTTGTGAGGTGTTTTATTTCAACAATGCCAACAAAAAAAGATAGAAGAAAGGCAGCAGCTTGTTATTATTACCTTGCTGTTAAGTCTCGTTGTACAGAAAAGAAAGGTCTCATAGATATTGGGTGAGAGATTGGATTAAAAGAAGAGAGAACATGAATATAATGGAAATATTATTAAAAGAACTAGAACAGGAAGATGAGGTATGTTACAAGAACTTTCTTCGAATGTCTGCCGCTGATTTTCGTTATTTGCTGGACAAAATAAAATTTGTAATAGAGAAACAAAACACACATATGCGAAATTCAATTCCAGCAGCTGAGCGGCTAGCCATTACTCTTCGATTTTTGGCTACCGGTAAGTACTATGTACATTAAAACATTAATTTTCAGTTTCAAGAATCAGACATTTTTTTAGGAGACAGCTACCATTCCTTAATGTATTTGTTTCGCATACCTGTATGTACTATTTCGCGAATTATACCAGAAGTGTGTTCTGCTATTTACAATGTTTTAAAGAAGAATATCTACAAGTAAGTGCATAAGACATTTTTATTAAAGTATTATTCTACATTTTGAAGTAAGTAGGCGATAAGCTTTCGTAATATTGTTGAAGCTCGTTATCAGATCTTGCAAGTTCTGGCTCAACATGAATAATTTGGTTCTGCGATTGGGACTCATAAATAATGTTTTCTTTGTTCATGTTCTGCTCTAATGACGTATTTGTATTTGTCTGTAATCTAAGGTCGTAATCATCGTTCATTTTTAAGACAATTCGCTGTATTTCTCGCTTGGCCCTTGACTCCAGGTCTGCAGCTTTTGAACTCATACTTCGCAGTTCGTCTGCCACATAATCCCCAAATATTTCAAAAGAGTCGGCTGAGTGTGACATAACGCCAAGGCAGCGGTCAAGTACAGCTTGTTGCTCTTGCTCTCTCTTTTCTTTAATGTTTGTTTTTGGATGAACTTGGTGTTTCATCACCGGACATTGACAGCGATGTATTTTCTGATATGTTTGAAGCTGAAGCGTTGTCTAGATCTGCATCAGCTATAAGGGAGTGTCGACTTTCTGAATTTTCGGTTACAGCTTCGGGTTCATTAATCTAAAAACAAAAATAGTCATAAAATAATAATACTCTTAATATTAGCTAATGTTAATATTAATTTATTTTTCTAGGTTCCAAGCTCTGAGCAAGAGTGGCTACAAATTGCACGACAGTTTGAAGAAAATGGAATTTCCCACAGTGCATAGGTGCACTGGACGGCAAACACGTCGCCATTAAAGCACCTAAACACAGTGGAAGTCTCTTTATAATTACAAAGGCACGCATAGCATTGTTCTGATGGCACTGGCTGACGCAAATTACAAATTTTTATACATAAACGTAGGAAGTATGGGCCGAATTTCCGATGGAGGAGTTTTTAACACGTGCTCTTTGGCAACAAAACTTGAAAATAGTAGTTAAATATTCCAAAACCTAGACAACTCCCAGGACGAAATAATTCCCGGAAACATTCCCTTTGTTATTGTAGCAGATGATGCTTTTGCCATGAAACCATATATTAAACCTTACGCGTTTTGAAACTTGCATGGTGGACAAAGAGTGTTTAATTACAGACTGTCTCGTGCTAGACGAATAATTGAAAATTGTTTTGGAATTGCTTCAGCTAGGTTTCGTGTTTTACGAAAGCCAATTGAATTAGAACCAGAAAAAGTCTCCATTATAGTGTCGGCAATATGCGTTTTACATAATTTTTTAATGACCCGTTCTCAGAACCTTTACGCCCCTAATGGCACATTTGATATTGAAAATCACGAAAATGGGACTATACAACCAGGTGAATGGCGACAAGAAACTAAAGCCTTACTGCCACTGCAACTGAATCGAAATCTTCGAGGAAATCTTTATACCAAGGAAGTACAAAAAAGAATTAACGAAATATTTTCAAGAGGAAGGTGAAGTTCCGTGGCAATATGAATATATATAGACTTCAATGTTTTTTATTGACAGAAAATAATATAAAAGATCACCCGGTACATTAGTATGACTTTCTCTATTATTTGAAACACTTTATACATAATAAATAAAAACATACTTACCAATGAATCAATTGCGTTTTCATTCATACCATTTGTTGGTAAGTCTATGAATTTTAATGCCTGATAAAACTCCCATTTCACAACAAAATTATCGCCTGCAGCTTGGCCGCTTTTTGTTTTTTTCCATTTTCTAGTTATGCTTTGAAATTGACATCGAAGGCTATGAATTTTATCGTTAACCTCTTGAGCAGATATTCCCATAACTTCTGAAATAGTATCAATGGAGTTTTTCGAGCATTTCGGTTTTTATACTGCTCCAATGAGCAATCCCATAAATTCGAGTGGGATTCGTATAATTCAATTAAATTTGAATGTCATTTGTCGAGACCAGTTAACACTACACGCTTTTCTTTTTTTCTCATTTACAACTTCACCCATTTTTCACAATAAAATAATAAAAATAATAATCAGACCCGAAAATTGTAAATACACCGCCGCGCCAACCAAATTTTATTTCAAGTACATCACCATAACTCACGTGCAGCAAGTGACACAAATATTTCAAATGAAACACGACGCATATCATGTATACACGTTGAAACTTGTTCATGAAACAAATATATCATGAAATATTGTGTCATGAGAGTTTTAACAATATTTCATGCATTTCAAGTGTGTTTCCATTGTGAAACCTGAAATTTTTGACTCATGACACAAAAATTTCGTGATAAATTTTCATCGTGGATACCTACCTTTATATTAAGTACCTTCCCACCCAGTTCTGAATGAAGGATGACATCTAATATACGTAAAGCTCATTCACAAACTCAGATTTCCACGTAGTGACGTAAAATGTCCCACGCCTATCGATCTGTTGTTACAGAAACCTTGTTTATTGTCTACGACAAAGTATAAAAGTCGTATAAATAGAGAAGATTAAAGTGCGTTAAAGTGATTCTCTGATCACCTTTTTCCATTGAAAAAATTATATGATTAGGGAGGTCTAAAATGTCGATATATCGAAATATCGATTTATTGAAATGTCAAAATTTCGATACAGTCGTTTTGTCTACACTGAAAAAGATATAAGTAAATTTACAAAAAATACTGTAATTATATAATACAAATAATAAAAATAAATCCGGAATCGTTACAGTTATAACACAGCATCTTTAATCAGCGACTTGTAAAAGTCAAATTTTTTGTATAGTTTTACAAAATAATCGAATTTTATTTTTTTTAGAAATAAACTCGCCAGCAAAATTAACGCATAATTTGATTTTTTTATTTTTTGGAAACATTTGGAAATAAACATTTATAAATATTTACAATGTCAAAGAACAAAAAAATAAAAATAATATTCAAAAATATTTAGTTAGTTTATAGTAAAATATCAATGACCTCTAAATAAATTTATTTCGATGTCATTAGTAAATATAGCAATAGCAAACATTAGACCAGTGTTTACAAGATCAAATTCGATTTTCAAAATATAATTCATTTACGGCGTAGAAAGCCTTGTCTAGTAAATAAGAGTTCAATGCTTTGCGAAATGAAAAAAATGATGTGATGGATTTGATTTCAAATGGCAGGTGATTGTGCCTTTTTTTCGAGTTGTATAATATTGAACTTTTAACTAACTCTGAGTGTGGGGTAGGTAGATAAAGATCTTACTCCGCGTTCCTGAGTGGATAAATGTGAGATGGCCTTTCTTGAGAAGCTGATACATGTTTACGTATTAGGCAAACGGATTCAAATATAAATAACGAAGGAAGAGTCAATATTTTTATTTCTTTAAAAAAGTCCCGGCAATGAGTTCTGCTGTTTAGTCCCAGTGAATATCGAACAGCTCTCTTCTGGGGCTTGAAAATGCGGTCAAATTGAGTCGCACAACACGCACCCCAGAATGGAAGGGCATACCTGAGGTGTGACTCAAAAAGTGCATAATAAACAGATCTAGCCACTGAAAAGTTAAGCTCCTTAGAAACAGACCTTAATGCAAAACAGGCAGAGCTCAATTTTTTCGACAAAGCTTCGATATGTATGTCCCATTTCAGAGAATTGTCCACAACAAGCCCTAAGAATTTTACAGATTTTACGACGTCAATGGTGGTGTTGTCAAGTACAAAAGGCTGCAACGAGTATTTATACGACAAAGCTTTAGTTTTAGAAATGTTGAGACTCTTCGTTCGAATCGAAGGACGTTCGAATCGCACCAAGATTTAATGGTGATTAAGTTATTTGATATAATCCTATGAAGTGCCGTGATGTCCTTGTTGCTCCAAGTGAAGCTAGTGTCGTCGGCAAAAAGACATATTTTGCCACTGATGTTTATGTTAGCAATGTCGTTAATAAAAAGAAGAAACAAAATAGGGCCTAGTACTGAGCCTTGTGGTACTCCACATTCTATTGGCTTGCTAGAAGACAACGTGGTATATAAGTATACATAAGTTCTGAATTTTTTTTTCAAGTATCTTAGACCGTTGGAGGATTCCCATTCCAGGTTACGGATGGGGTCTTCCAGGTTTTTGAGTTCCGCTTTAAGTTAGTTTCCACTTAGGAAGCAGAACGGTCCAGGAAGAACGGTTAGGAAGCTAACTGGTCCAGTTAGTGGAGCTTTCGCCGACTTTTTAGCTAGATTTAAAGTTATTAAATGTCGTGTGTTCCAAAAAATTACTACGTTACATTAAATAAACTATCGATAATTATATGAAAAATTGACATCCCTACTTGTTATTGTCGAAGACAGAAAAATCATACAAACAGAAAAGATTAAACATTATAGCGAATCCCTGATTATTTTCCATTCAAAAAGGTTTATTGTAAGCAACTAAAAAGAGAGGCAGATTGGACAAAGCAGCGCGATATTTTCATAAATGCTATTTTAGCATTTCATTTGGAAAAAAAATGTTAATCTGGTGGGAGCATCGTCTCGATGACATTGAAAACAGATTCTGTTTGACCTTGATAGTGTGATATGCATTTTTGCTTGGATACTCCAGTAGCGCACGTAGGTATATAGCTTGAATTTGTTAAATTAGTTTTTTTTATCAAAACTAAAAAAAAAATCAAATATAACCGGATCGATATAAAGACCTGTTTTGTGATTTCGAATATAATTATAAAAGAACAGCCATATTTTGCATTATGAAAAAACATTGATTTTTATTACAGAAGAAAACTAAGAATAATTTCAAATACTAGCTTAACAGGTATACAGTTCTACATAAATACAGGATTCTGAATTTTTCATAAATTAGGATTCTGGTTCAGACAATAGCTGCACACAGTGATGGGCGGTAGGTAAATACCAGTGGGTATAATAAACCCAGATAGCACATTTACGTTCTTTTCATATGCGAAGCAAGTGACTTTGGAGAACAACAATGTTCTATTCACATTCCTTTTTTTTCATTGGGAACATATATGGCACATGAATAGCAGAGATTACGTTCCACCCTATTCAAGTGATATAGAAGTGCGTTTCACATTCCAAGATATATTCTATGAACGTGAATTATATGTTCGTAAAAGAATGTATTTAAAAATAATATTCCAATTTTATGGTATTCATGTTTTTAATATTCTATATTTATGCTTTTCATATGTTTCTCATATTTTTTTATTGTCTACAGAGGCAAAATAAAACACTAATTTACCACAATACACCAAAACACTTTACTTTTGCACAGGACGCGCGTTTCGCTAACCATGTTAGCATCATCAGCAGATGGTCAAAATTTAAGTTTTAATCATCTGCTGATGACGCTAAGATGATTAACCAAACAAGCGTCCAGTTCAAAAGTAAAGTGTTTTGGTATATTGTGGTGAATTAGTGTTTTAATTTGCTGTTGTAACACCAAAGATTCCAACCCTCAACCAAACCCTCAACTCTGTATCTACTGGGTGTCCTGTATAAGGATGCCCTGTATCAATATCCTATAAACTATAGATATAGATACAATTTTTTTCATATTTAGCAATTTTTTTATCTCTTAAAATCTATAGGATACCTATACAGTACATTCATATCTGGAACACACTACAAACAATTTGCTGAAATTAAATAATTTGGTGTGTAATAATCAAAAATTAACTAATAAATAGAACGGTTAAAAATAATAGGTAAGGATAAAGACGAACTTGAGTAATATATGTTTATTAATTAAAAATATTTTAATATAACGATATACATTGATATTATCTTCTATGTCTATGTTTCTACATTCTCTTGTCTACCCTTCTGAAATAATATCAGCAGAATTATACTGTTCAAATAAATTTGCACAACTTACCTTGGTATTTTTTAATCTTTCTTTTGTTTTTACAAGCCATATTTTAATTATATTGATAATTTCGGTTTCTTTTGACTCTTGAAATTGACCTTTCATGGAGTCTAAAATATATGTTATTACAGTCTTTGCAACACCAAATATCTTTAAGTTCAAATACCTAAAATTGCTTTTGGCCACTAACAATGATTTTAAACTTCTCTTCTGTTCCCCATCCCAAGAATATTTTGTGCAATTTCATTGCCCAGAACCTTATAAAGCATTTTCCTTGTACTTTGTGCTACTCCTGAACCACCAAGTCTAGATAATTCTCGAACCTAATAATTCTAAAAAATACCTTTCTCTTAAAAAAATACACAATAAATGATTATAGAAGAGCCTACATAAATACCTATATAAATACTATATTGTAAGAAATTTCAGCACTGGAACTACACTTATCAGAACAGAAATCTTCAATGATACTACCAGAGATACTACTACTTTGATGATGTACAGAGGATAATAAAAAATCACTTTGGTCTGAATCCAGTTTAATGTACAATATTGAAGTCATATTTGCGTAACATTGACTTAATAAGATTTTGGCTCCTTTTTTTTTGGTTGAATTTTAAAATATTTTTTAGTATAACCTATTTTTTCTCGAGGTCTCATGGTTTTAAATTCACTCACCTTAAAAGAAGATACTGAAAACACAAACATAACAAGAACTATTTTACCGATTCTATCCTTAAAATAATTATTTGCATCACTTATCTTTACGTTATCTCAGTGTTTTAATAGAGAACAACGACATACGGTCGAGTCGGCCTACAAACAGGTAAACGTTTACGTACGCATGCGCATTTCTTATATTTTCTATTTTTTATACAAGTAAAAGATTCTTTACGTCTACGTATACGTGCCAGGAGCGGCCGACTCGACCGTATGCCGTTGTTCTCTAATTATTAAAATAGTTTGGATGAAGCACGTTTACGTTTATAGTTCACTTGTTGTTTTTTTATTAGGTTATGTTATGGATGTACGATTCGAATCGATTTCAGTCGAAGATCGATCTTTTTACCCAAAAAATCGATTAAAATCTATTGAGTTTTATCAAACTATCTTTTGGTATAATCGATCTTTTTATTTCATAATGGAAGATCGTTTTTATTTATACAGTTTTACAGGTTTATTTATTTGTTAGAATAAGAAACACTGTATTTTTGCTTGAATATTTGTTTACAGGGCATCTATATACACTAATATATAAAATCCCTAATTATTTAATACACAAAAACTTAATAGTAACTGATAGTAAGAAAATATACAAATATAATGTATTGTATTCATTTTTTCATTTCGAAATCATTTTTATTCTCCTGTATTTTTATTCAGATATTGATATGTTTAGAAGGTGAATAGCAGATACTTAAAATTTATTGTAAACCATAATTTAAGAAGACATTCTAAGGTCATGCTGATAACATACCTTTAAATCACATTCGTAGTAGAATGTACTATTCATATGCCATACTTATTACAAAAAGAATATACTTATAAGAACTTAGGAGGAATATTCTTAGAATGTAAATGTTCCTTTTGTGCTATCTGGGAAAGAAATTTGGGGTATATACCCAGAAGGTGTAGGGTATATACCCACTGAGAGAATATTTCGTCGGGAAACCCCCTTGTCTGCGTTGTGCTGTATTTTCGATACACTTAAAACTCTATTACGCTGTACTGTTTGGGTCGCTCTCAAGGGTCGGGTAAAGCGGGTGTGTGGATGACGAAGGAAATTAATATTATATTTCAGAAATCTGCTTAAGGCTTAGCCTTTTTCCTGTCGTGTTAAGCCACACCCAAAATTCCAAACACACGCGCTTTGATTAAAACTTGATTAAGGTTTGCAGAGCTTCAGCATTTGCCATAAAATAGCGAGCAATTTGTTACAAAACCATATAAATTATATATCACTGTAATCACAAAACTCCAATCTATTTCCGTATTTAAATGGAATTTTAAATTATGTTTTTATTTTCGAGAAAATTTAGTCCAAACATAAGGAATATTTTGTTGATGTTTGACCATCAAAATCTTAAAAATAAAGAAGTTGTCTAAAAATGTGCTACAATACGGATATGGTATAATCCTTTATCTTTAATTTCCTTCTTCATTAGTGTAAAAATACCTAGTCAGTTTTACATAAAACGTTAAATGCCGAACGCTTATTTTGCTTTTTCGAACTAGTAAAATTGACTATTAAAGATTTTTTTGCTATCACCAATAGCTAAGCCTGGGGCCTGACGGTATTACACAGGTACATAAATATACAAAAAAACGTAAATATTCACTAGAATCTATCCATATCTTTTTCTGAAATTTACATCCCTACTAAACTGTCCCATTTATTCGCAACCGCTTTCACTGGATACAACGACAAAAACCTAAACTTTCGCAAATCCTTCCCCGAAATTGTTTCTTGACACAATTAGCGGCATTTGTCACCGTTCCCCCATTTTCGAAATCTATTCACGCAGACCTCCGTCGCAGCCTCCAAATCCTTTTGTGGGATTTGCACAAATCTTCTGTGCCAACTGCAACATGAAAAATTGCACTTCGCACACACACAATACAATGAACAGCGCTAAATGCATTGCCATTTTTACCTGGGCGCAGAGTATTTCTTCTAATACCCCATAGAAACCGGTTTGCGTTTTTAATTTTCGCAATTTGCATTTGCGGACCGAGCAGAACGACAGACCGACCGGCTTTCGAAATGAACTTTTCAAAGTGCGAGGGGCGGCCGCCATGGAACAAAGAACTCGCAGATTTCTCTCGACCTAGTTATTTTTAGAAATACACATCCAATTAAGGATTTTTTGCCAGGTTTTGTGATTAGGTTCATTCGAGGTGCATTTCGTGGCGAAGCCGAAAACGAGTTTATAGTTTTCGTTTACAAGCATTTATTAGAAATGACATACGAGTAGCAGTAACGGCTGTATATACAAGGTGGTCCACCACACAGAGAGAGAAGAGTCTCTTATATCAAATCATTGCCAATTATAGTTTAAAATTTCATTTCACTAGACCGAAAAAGTAGCAAAACAAGCGTTCGGCATTTAACGTTTTATGTAAAACTGGCTAGGTATTTTTACAGAAATGAGGAAGAAAATTAAAGATAAAGGATTATACTATATCCGTATTGCAGCACATTTTTAGACAACTTCTTTATTTTTAAGATTTTGATGGTCAAACGTCAAAAAAAATATTCCTTTATTTGGACTAAATTTTCTCGAAAATAAAGACATAAGGCGGTGGACCCTTGGTATATTTTTACTTTATTCGATAGAAAATGATACTCTGAATAGAATGACATATCATATGACAACTTTTGACGTTTTTGCTTTAAAAAAATCGTATTTAAATTTTGAATCTAGAGTGCCATGACTAATTTTTAATCAAGGATGACTAATTTTTAATCAAGGATTCCTGGAAAAATAGATTTGATCGTCTAATGTTTTTCGTGTCTTGTTTTGGCCGGTTAAAAGAGGCCCAAATCGTATTTTTAATCAAATCTCAATTTTTTCAAATGGAACAAGGGTGGCTCGTTAGCATATTTGGAAAAAGCATTTTTTACGAATAATTTGGTATCACACACTTGGTATTTCGGGTCAAATTGTCGTTATGAACCGCATGTTATAATTTCAAATAAACCATATGCAAACATGTCAAAAATTGACATATGATATATAATTCTATTCAGGCTGTCACTTTCTATCGAATAAAGTAAAACAATACCGAATATCAAGGATACTATAGAGATAAGGATAGTTCGATTCCTATCTTCCTGCACTGTCAGTTTTTTTTACGTCATCTGGGGACCGAGTTGAAGTTGGCGCGAAAGATTTTAGACAGTGACAGTTATTTTTGCATTTGACGGACGAGCGCACAGTGCGTTGGAAGATAAATTTAGCGGGACAAAAGCGTTTGGTTAGAAATAAGCCAAAAAATGTGTGCTGTAAGAATAAATAGTAGACATTCCAATTGATATAAAAATGCATGAATATTCTGTGTATTTCGATACATTTTTATCAACCAAATTTGGTCGTTTTCTGCTCAGCAAGGCAGAGATCATACGAAAACAAAATATTTACAAGTGCTTATACATTTTATTCCAAAGCCAAATTATGTTGAAGATTGCCAAAGGTATGTAGTTTTCTACTGTACGTATATTATTTGTTAAAATCCTTCGTGCCTTTATTCTGCAGATATCAAACTTTCACTTTTTTTCAAATATCGATATATTGAATGATGTAGATCTTTTGAGTTACCAATAGTTACCAACACAGGTAGTCACAGTCACAGGGAGTTCAAGAAAAAGTTTGAATGCCCAAAAAGTTTCATTTCAATCGGATAGAAACAAAACAACTCCATCAAAAGGCACTGAGTTTAAAAAAGTGTCTTAGATACTTACTATATGTATATGAATTTACAATTACCGATTGTTAAAATTAAAATATATATCTTAATTATTATTTTTAAAATAAAATATAATTTTTTAAAATAAAATATAGAGGGTGTCACAAGATTACAAAGTAATTAAAAAATAACTGGTAAGAGTTCTTTGTAAGTATTTCACCTGATATCATAATTTTATGTATTTGGCAATAGTTTACAATACATAGTTTTATTATCTTGTATTTATTTATTAATAAATTAAGTTGTTAATAAATAAATAAATTTAACCATATGGTTGCTATACATATATTAGACCATTTGCTACCTTCTTAGATTTTAAGTCCCAAACATTGCCCTTGAGATTTAGTCCCGCTAGAATAACCATCCGCCGCACTGTGTAGCGCTGGTCCCTGCGTGACGTAAGCATCCACGGCGACTACGACAGCGGCGATTTGACGCGATCGAACAGCCCTTTAGATTATATACAGTCCTTGACCGAAGGTGCCATTTTAAAATCAAAAGTTCTAGTAATTTCCGGTGAAACAGGAAGTGGGAAGGAAACACTTTTAAAAGGCACCAGGTATATCTGTGTATTTTTTTTTACTTTTTGAAAACCTATACACGCTCGCCCCACCAATAAAAAGCATACATCATATAACCCAATTTTCTTTTTAGCAGCTAATTTTCACAATACAATAGCCCCCCTCCCCTTCCCGACACTCGAGTAACTCCCCTATTTAGCATCTCCGGCTCCTAGCTCCCCTACTAC